GATTGGTGGTTAGGTCTTGTCTCACATTAAGAATAACAATTAGTAATTAATTTAGAAAATTTTATAAAAATCACTTTTTTTTCTATAAAACTTTCCAAATTATTTAAATGACATTTTAAATTTTATTAATAATAACAACTTTTGAGTTTTAAGTTAGTTAAAATGAAAATATACTTGGATATTACAACTTTTCAGTTAACTTTTTCTAATCGATATCATAATCTGTTCTTTTGGAATCGGTGGACAGACTTAGAACGTCACTCCACAAACGATCGAAGCAATTTCATCATTCAAACAGTACGCTTTTGTTTGTATAAGCGTTCGGATATAATTGTGAATGACCTTATTGTACTATGTCAATTCATCAGTTTAAATTGAATGGAGAATATAAAGTTTATTTTTGATTTTCTGAAATAAATTTCTTAATATACTTTCCTATTAAATATGTAAATTTTAACACACTAATTTAAATAATTTTTTTTATCTATAATTAAAATTGCTTGTTATTAAATGTACTTAAATGCATTATTGATAGAGGAGGGAGTGTATATACTTATCTGAATATAGAAGAGACGATAAACAAAAGCTTAATAAAAACTCATTTCTAAGTATTTGCTCGTTAAACTCAATATCGATGAAAGAGTATCTTTGATTCTAGTTTATTACTTGGTAGTAGATATTTGGGATTGTTAAACAAGGTCCTACTTTTACGGTTAATAAGTTGATTGGTGCTATCTCATGTAATTTTTTTATCTCTGTTTACAAATATGGTCATATCTGATGGTTAAACTGAAAAATGTTTCACAAATGTACACAGATATTAAATATTTTACTTCTAGACTATACCGATTGGTTTTAGTAGTGTGAATTTACGAAAAAAAATTACCGTATATTTCTGCAGATGAGGTATAAATTTTTGTTGAAGTTTTATAGTTTTAGCATATATCTGTCCTATAAGATGACCCCTGAACTATCAACGGCCTATGAATTTAGTTTAGATCGGCGATCATCATCTGGATAATAACACTGTATAGCGTATACGGAATTATGTCCTATTCATAACTTTTTTGAAAGAACTTCAAATTTTATTTTCTTGCATCTGACAGCACTGCCTTGCGATTGTTGCACACATTCACACTGATTCGGGCATTCAGGTAATGACCTTGACTATTCACAAAAACATTGTATGGGCTGTTCTATTTTGTGGACATACCCTACTCGCTACTAGTAAATAATTACGGTTTGTCCGTTTTTTCCTCGGTAGTTCAATAAACATAACTTTTAATATTTATGTAAAGGTGTGGATTGTCCCTGGTGTCGGAAGCGCAGTTCAATGCCTAGAATCCGGTGACAGTTGAAAGAATAGAGCAAGCATAGGGTAAAAGAAAAAACATCTGGCAACACCAAAAAGCAGAAGCTTTAAGATCTGGCAACACTAAAACAAGTTTCGAAAAGGACAACGTGTGAGCGACAAAAATAAAAAGGCGAGAAAAGAAAATCATGGAACCTACGAAAAAAAGAAAGGAATTTGAAGCAAGCTTCAAGTTAAAAATCATAAAACAGGCTAAAGAATTTGAACAACTGTGCTGCAGCAAGGGCTTTCGATATAACAAAGATGGTAAGAGATTGGAGAAAGAATGAAGATGCTATTAGAACATTTTTTCATTGGCATTTTTTTTTATGAGGAGAGGACTAGCTTGCTGGCCAGATTTAGAAAATAATGTTGTAGAATGGTACAAAAACAGAGGCAGAATCATTATGTTGTTATGGGAAACATGATTAGGGCTTACGCATTGAAGTGGGCACTGGTCAATCCAGAACAGAGCAAAGAATTTAAAGCAACAGTAGGTTGGTGCAATCATTTCATGAATGGAAAAAATCTGGTAATATGACAGAAAACAAAAATTGCGCAGAAATTACCATAAGATCTTGACCATAAAGTCACGAGTTTTCACTAATATTGGAAATATGGATGAAACACCGATGAACTTCGACTTGATAAACAATAGAAGTGTGGAAACAAAAGGCGTAAAAACTGTTTAAGTCAGAAGTATAGGCCATGAAAAGACTAGGTTTACAGTACTGTTAATATGCATGGCAGATGGAACAAAGTTAAAACCCTGGTCATTTTCAAGAAGAAAACTACTCAAATAAAATTTCCGCCAGGCATTTTCGTACATTTTCACAAAAAGAAGTGGCTGGACGAAAATGGTGTAAAATTGTGGGTGGAAAATGTGTGACAGAGGCAACCAAGGTGCTCTATGAAATCAACAGTTTGTTAGTGTGGGATATGTTTTGCAGTCACATAACTGAGAACACTAAAAATCACTTAGCAGGGAACAATACTAAGATTGCCTTATACCGGATGGTTTAACTTCAATGCTACAACCTTTAGATGGATCTCTGATTAAACCATTCAAAGATCACATGCGTGAACAATAGAATAACTGGATGATGAGTGGTGAAAAGTCGTATACGAAAGGTGGAACTTTGCAGGCTGCATCACTTGATGTGCTGTGTGATTTTGTGATCAAATTTTGGGAAAAAGTGAAAGTGGAAACAGTGATCAAATCCTTCGAAAAGTGTGGAATTTCTAATGCCATGGATGTCACTGAGGACGATTTGTTATGGAATACTGATGTCAAAATGGAAATCGACTTGCTATGTACAGAATTGGACCCATATGATGAGCTTCTGTGGTCATCGAATGGTGAGTTGTTAAAGCAAAAAGGGAATACGAATAAAACAATGAAAAAAAACTTTATTTTTCACCGGTTGGTTACTTTCTTAAAATTTAAGTTCTACAGGATCTTTCGATTCCGACACTCCTTTAGGTGCTGGGCTTACCCGTAGGAACAAAGAATCCCACACGCAGGTAGGAATGTTGAAACAAAACATGCGACAAAGTTAAGATCCAACTGACAATTTCGATCACAACAAAGTACATATATATCTAAGACTTAAAACTAATTATCAAGAATAAAACAGAAAGGGACAGCATTTAAGACGTATAGATTGAAAAAGGAATGAGAAATGGGTACCCAATGGTGGTCAACGCTCTAGTTTTAATGAAGATGGCCAATACGTACTCTTCTTGGTTCGCTGGGGGAGGACAGGTGAAAATCTCCTCTACACTGAAGAAGGAATCTTTTTCACTCGTCTCATGCGTGCCTTTATACCAAAGTTCTGTGGGTTCGTCCAGGTCTATATCTCTGACTGCTGCTAAAACAGTCCAGAGACCTCTCATACACGTCCTCCTCCCACGTCCGGGCTAAAAGTGTCCCTTCCTCTTCATTCTCACCCTCAGGGCTCCCCCTTTTTCCCTTTGTTTTCCAAGTAGGTCAATTCACTCCATGTGGTTAGAAGTTTCTAGAATGTTCCATAGAACAAAGGACAAAGAGGGAAGAAAGGAAACAGGAAAATATCTACATATTTTCATTTTATACAAAAAGAACAATATGGTGGTACACCACACTTCTCAACAACGAAAGTGAGGATGTACTTGAGCTATTTGCCTTAGATGATAAATGTGATGATTTTGCAGGATTTTAAATACATTGGTGAGTGATTTGTTTTATTTTATAGTGGTTTTAATTTATATAAATTTCAATCTATTTTTTTTTATCTGTCCTATAAGATGACCCCGAATTTTGGGTTTTTTTTTATTGATTCAGCTATCATCTTATCTGCGGAAATATACGGTATATTCAGAATATTATTCGATAGAGATGCCATTTTCAGACAAGTGCAGTGTGCAACCCCCACTTAGATCTATTCATTGTTCTATTCTTATTAACTGATTGTCATCTTCTTATGCAATTTATGTCTTATTGTATTTTTCCATAAGCAGTTCCTTCTTAAAATGTATTTGTTCAGATTGTTTTTCTCATGTTTCCATTTTCTATTCTTGTGATTTTCAAGGTTACATAGTTGTGATTCTATCTCATCCATACATTCTCTTTGTCTCTCTCACACTCCACAATTACATACAAGATGCTTTTAGTCTCTCCTCTCTTGCTTGCTTCTCTTCAGTTCTAGCATTTATTTGGAGTTTTCCTCAGCATTTAGTGGCTTGAGTGAAAATTTTCTTTGTATTAATTAGTGTCCCATTTACCATGGCCATTCAATTTCTTCATTCTCACTTATCTGTGTGCTTTAGTATTTAATTCTGCTTGCCGGTTCTAATTTTTTCTTACGTTTTTCTGCATATCCGGATTAGCTTTGCCTAAATAGTAACAATTAAAATACAGTCAAATGCTCAATGATTGTTAATGTTACAAGTAATAATAATGTAATATTTGTAATGATATTAAAAATAAATAAGGATAATAAAATGGGGAACAATAAATTACTATGCAATGTAAATTACAGCTGTAAAATGTATAATACTGTAGGAGAAACAAAGGGCAAATTATTGTTTAGTTTGACGATATGATAGAATAATTTGTATACAATAAGTAATGGATTGAAAGTACTAAAACTGAAATTTGTATTGTAAAAAGAAACAAATTGTTACAATAAATAATAAAATTTTAAACATCGAAGTTAGTAAAAGTTATTTCCGTAAAATATTTACACTTAACACTGAATGTAAATGTTTTGTTGTTAAGGTATTGTTTTGTTGTTATTACTTTAAGAAACTAATTGGGTAATCGAGAAGAGCTTGCGTTTTTAACTCTTTTTGTCTGTTGGACGTTAAGAAGACCTTTTTCGTGTCCATCACGGATACTTCTGTGTCCGTGATGGAGGAGAGGCCGGGCGGCAAGAGACAGGATCCTATAAAGTCATATCTGTAAAAATTTCTAAAGTTTGTCTCGTGCTCGACTCTAGATTTTGAAAGAGTTAAAATTAAACCCTTATGTCGATAGCAAAATTTTATAAAACGTCGATTTAAGCTTTACACTATTAATTTAAAATGAATTTTTGAATAAAATTGTTAGAAATTAATATTAATATTTTATGTTTAGGTTAAAGAGGTTTCAGAGGTGGAAATTTAAACAATGAGTTACCAACTGCAGTCACCCGCTCCTGCCGGGACTAGGCCAAGTAAGTGTCTTTTAACCTGCTTACATTAAAATATATAGTTGTAAATATTAACCAGTGTACTGAACAAATACTTCTTAGAGATCAGAATTCTCTCTTTGTATTGTATGGTTTGGGTTTCGAATTTGATACGTCTTCTATTTAAATTTTGTGTGTTAGAAGTTGATTGTGTCTAAGAAAGAAAGAAAATTTTCTGAGAAATTTATTTCTTTTCATTTATATTTAAAAAAAAATGAAATCTAAACTTTAATGAAATTGAACAGAAAGAAATTTTGTTTTTGAAGAAGCTTAAGATTTGTTTTGTTGATAATTATTTTTGATCAGAAGTAAATTATATAAAGAAAAGTTTCTACAATTTATTAAATCTTGGAATATTTGTTATTTGTTATAAAATATTAATCATATGTAAGAAAATCCAAAAAATAAGGTTCTAATGCTTGTTTTACTAGAAATAATAGTTTTATTTGCTCCTTTTTCCAGACTATCAATTTATAAATGAAGCATATTTTGTGGATGTCAAAATTCCATTATCAAAGTAGATAACAAACTGTATCTCAAACACCATAAATGTAAATTGTGTAAAGTACTAAGTTATTTTTACGCCTTTTACAATGATTAGCGACACAACTTTGTGCCGGAAATAGCCATTACCTAACGGGTACTTTACGCGGATTCGCGTTAATGTGCCAGGCCAGGACTTTATACTGTGAGGTGACGTCACAATTCTGAGTGAGATCACTTTCCTCATTTACGTACTTATCGCTAACAGTAAACTTTTCCTTTCTGCCTGGCAGCCTATTTTCCGACAATACTCGCTAACCTTTTACATTATTCTTTTTTACAATTTTTCAGGATGTTTTATTCTTTAAGGTTTAGCAAGTTCCTAAGTTGTGCTTGTGGGGTTTCCCCCCTCTTTCTCGGTGCGGACTTACTTTTTTCTGCTCGGGAGCACAAGTGTGTGCAAGTTTTTTAAAAAATAAAATAAAATAGATAATTACCAACTACTACATATTAAATACATATTAAAACTACTAAAATAATACTCTAGACCAGCGTTTCTCAAACTTTTTTGTGCCCGTGATACACTATAAAGCATGAAAAATTTTTCTAGCACATATGTACGACATTGAAAATATATTAATGTACTTAAATTATAAATAACTTTGTACTATAATAGCTGCTACTCTGTAGGCCTAACCTAGCTATTAGTTTATCTTGGGTGTAATAAATATTTGCACAAATCAGCTTATTCTTATTTTAAAATATACTTTCATAATAATCGTGGTGGTGCATTTAGCCATTTCTTGAGATGCACTAATGTATTTCGTCATACTGTCTGAGAATCACTGCTCTAGATTATAATGTTACCATATGAATACCAATTAATTGTATGTTCTTTGGAACTTAGCATTATGTTTATGCTAAGTTCCAAAGAGCATAAAACTAATGGATAGAACAGCAAGCAATCAAGTACTACCAATTAATTGCTTGCTTACATACTCATATAATTTGCAAATTATCCAAAAGTCTGTTATGATTTGGTGCTCTTTGTCTGTTAATGACTGTGTGCTGTAACACATAACAACAACAAACTGCTTGTTGTAAGAATGATGCTTAGAACATTTGATAAAGTATCAGATTTTAATTGGACACTACACACCAGTAGTTTACTTTATGCAAATTTTGTTTGTTCGTATAGTATTTGTGACTAAATTAAGATGATTTCTCATCTTTTCTGAAGATACAGTAATAGAATTTACTATTCTGTTGTTTAAAAGAAGAAATATATTTCTCTTACAATTAAAATAAAAATAAAATTGTTATAATAATCCAGTGTCCCATGGAATGAATATGGCTGATCCAAAGGAACAGATTTCTCTATGGCAACAGAATGCTTACATAAGTGATTCTGGTATACATTCTGGAGCAACAACACATGTAAGTATATATATATTTTTTAATAAAGTTATAATTTAGTGAAAAACTGATTGTGAAGTTTTATATTTATTTAGGCTCCTTCTCTTAGTGGAAAAGAAGATGATTTGGATAGTGAACAGATTGTGTTTGACTGGGATCACGCCGGTTTCGGGCAAGGATTTACTCAAGATCAACTGGATGGTAACTAAATTGTTGCTTTTTCCTCTCTCAATTTGCTTGAATGATATAAAAATAACAGTGCATACTTCTGTTTAGAAATGAACCAGCAGTTAAACCAGACAAGATCGCAGAGAGTGCGTGCAGCCATGTTTCCCGAGACTCTGGACGAAGGAATAGAAATTCCTTCAACCCAGTTCGATCCGAGTCAGCCGACTGCCGTTCAGAGATTATCTGAGCCATCTCAAATGCTGAAGCATGCCGTGGAGAATTTAATCAATTATCAGGTATTTTTTTTACTTGCAGTTTCTGATATCATAAATATTTAATTACTACAGATTTCTGCTTTTATGTATTGAGTAGTGGATAATGAGTTTGTATAAATAGGGATAAGAAAACAAGATGTTAGAGAGTTTTGAGAAAGAACACATGGAATTGCCATTTTGTACAATATAATATAAAAATTTTGAAAATAAATAATTTCTAGAGTTTGTTTTATAATATAATAATTCATAGTTTAGTAAAATAATGAATTATGTTATCATGCTTTTCTACACTTAGAAACATGACATATATATCCTATTGTTTACTTGGGTTAGATAAAAAAGTAATGGCAAAACATTCATAGTTGCAAAATAAAAATTCTGAAATAAAACAACTTTATTTCAGAAAGAACAAGAACTTGCATGTGTTACACATATTGTCTTGCTTTGTTAATAACCTTTTGCCACACCTCTGACAGTTGTCTTATGCCATTGGCATGCTCACTACTGTTGATGTTCTGTATGGCTACCCTTTAGTGTGGATAACGCTGTCCCTGGTCCAGAAATGGTGTTCTGTCAGGGGTTCCTTCAATTCAGAGAAAAGGTCAAAATCACAAGGATATTGTATTTGGGAAAGAGGGTACATGTTCCAGAATTTCTCATTGCCTGTGGTGAAAAATGCTCATGATAGTGCTGGTGGCTTGACATCTCACATTGTTGGGAAGAATGATGGGGCCAGAAGCCAGCAGGTTTGGTCACTTCCACCAAAACCACCTTTGTCTAGCATTACAAAAGAAGTGGCAATAGTAGGTGTGGCCTTGACACTGACACATACACGTGGTGCGCAATATCAGTGCAGCATGGTTTTGTGGCACGGGTCAACTTCCACTGGCAACTAACTTGATGTCCATTAACATTTTACCACCAGCAGGAAATCAAGCAGCTGTACAGTGTGTTCAACTGTGGGTTGCCCTAAACAAGGATTCCCTGCCATCCCCAAACACCTTCACCCATCTTGCCATGGTACAATATGGCAATGCATCATTGCCATATGCTTCCCACAGTCCTTCGTAACATTGTCAGGCAGTTTGTCTACATGCAGCTTTGATTTTCATCTATGATCGTTGCTCATGTTTGCTGAACACGTCACTCCAGTACTTCTTAGGGTGGGCATGCTCAGCATACACAAAACAGTATCACAGCTTGCAGCCAAATCACAGCAACCCCCACACTCTTTGTACCATGCATGTATCTCACTATCTTCTTCCACATCCCCCACCACCTACCAGCATATGATGCATATATGCCACATGCTGGAAGTATGTGGCATATCTACTATCGGTTCTACTATCGGTAGAAGTAATGGTAACACTATCAGTACATGACATATGTGTACTTATGGATAGTGTTCCATTACTTTTTATCCAACCCAGGTGTATTATATAAATATTTTATATAAATTATATAATGATCACAACCAAAACCCAAATAAAAATAATCTAAACACTACATTTTTAAAATGTTTTAAGAACATTTTCTAATTCAGAGTGATTAATGCAAGACATTTCTAACAGATAATGTAGAACAAGAATTTTGATAATTTAAAGACACAGTAGAGTTTTGGTATATGCTACTTTGGATACTTTAGATAACAGAATATTTTATACTAAGCGATTGACTGAATACAAGAATATTGACACCAAATGATCAACCAAATTATCAGACTATTTTTGGGCTATCTTAATGATTAGCTACTAATTAATTTGACTAGAGATAGGCAATTATGCTGCCATCTTGTATTAATTGAAATAATTATTAGAAATAATATAGCCTGACAATCCAGTAAATTGTTTGGCATTAAATACCAAATGATCTATCGGATTATCAGGTTACTTTAAGGCTAATTTAATAATTAAATATAAATAATTTGACTAGAGATAGGCAATTAGGATGCCATCTCATAATAAATGAAATAATTATTAGAAATAATATAGCCTGACAATCCAGTAAATTGTTTGGCATTAATTAAAATCAGGTTAATGGATTTATTGAAATTTTAAATGGTAACATAATTTATTTAATGTTATTTGGAAAAAGTTATTTCTTCTCAAACAGTTCAGCAAAATTTAATAATGATGATTTACATAATAATATGTTTATGATAACCCTACAGTGACACTGAAAATANATCTCCGTGACTAAACAGTAGTTTAAATTCGTGTTAATTTATCTCTTTATTTCTAAAGCGCTCTCGCAAATCTTTAATAATTTAATTTTATTGTCCAAGTATTAATTTTTAAAAATGTTTACAGCCCCTTTTGAATTTTGCCCATTGTTGGAGTAAGATTCATGAAATGAACTGTTTTATACTTTGTTCTCACTCTTATTGACAAAATATTTTTCCGTAGATTGCCTGGATAATCTACCTTGGTCAAACTGATCTCAAATCAAGACTGTAGTATTTAAATAGTTCATTATAACAATTCATTAAGTACAAAGATAGGATAGGAATATGAAATTCAAAGAGATTATAACATTGTAAAGAATGTTTTCACCCAACTTGCACTGAAAAAGTTACTAAAGTATCTAATTTTTCACTTTAATTGAAATAATGATACATTCCATATACAAGTGAAATTGAATAATAATATATTTATCATTAAAACTAGAGCTTAATAAAAATTTCATTTCGGCCTAAAAGAAAAAACAATGTTTATTGTAAGTGATTAATGTAAATAAATCCCAAAGAAGTAATAGTTATTTGTGCACTTTGTAATTGAAAATGCTTAGAATTATCATTATAAAAAGTTAAATATTTTTATTATTAATTCTACTGAATATATTATGCTGTTTCATAGTAGATCTAATTATGATCCATTGAAAATAACATGGAACGATATATTATCTGATTGATTAAGAGTTTTATTTACTCTACTTTAATGACCATATCCACAATTAAGAATGCAGAATTAGAGTTAAAAGTAAACCAATAAGCATTCACATAAGTATGTGAATGTTTATTGGTTTACTGTTACATTATCATTGAATATGTGTTTATTATTAATATGCACATATGCTGCACTCTTGATGGAATTACTTATGATATAACTTTTTCATTCAGGATGATGCAGATTTGGCTACAAGAGCAGTTCCAGAATTAATAAAACTCTTAAATGATGAAGATCAAGTTGTTGTGGGACAAGCGGCGATGATGGTGCATCAGCTTTCTAGAAAAGAAGCATCTCGACATGCTATTATGAATTCTCCTCAGATGATAGCCGCTCTGGTGAGAGCAATGACTACGTCCAACGATCTGGAAACAACAAAATGTGCAGCGGGAGCTCTTCACAATCTCTCCCATCACCGACAAGGCCTTTTGGCAATATTTAAATCTGGAGGAATTCCAGCACTCGTGAAACTACTCAGGTAATGTATATGTTTACGTCACACGACATACATGTAGCATAATCTATTTTTGAGATTAAGATTCAAAACTGTTGCTTAATACAGTTCACCTGTGGAATCGGTGCTATTTTACTCGATAACTACTCTCCATAATTTGCTGTTACATCAAGAGGGATCAAAAATGGCTGTTCGTCTGGCTGGAGGACTTCAGAAAATGGTGGCTCTTCTTCAACGTAATAATGTTAAGTTTTTGGCTATCGTGACAGATTGTTTACAGATTTTGGCTTATGGAAATCAAGAAAGCAAGGTACTGAAATATTAGAACATTTAGAGTTCAATGTACAAGTGGATTTATAATAAAAATGCCTTAGTATGGACTATTTTTAATCTGTATTTATAATTATAGTTGATAATTTTGGCAAGTGGTGGTCCAGCAGAATTGGTTAGAATAATTCGTTCTTATACTTATGAGAAGTTATTGTGGACAACATCACGTGTTCTTAAAGTGCTCTCTGTGTGTTCTAGTAACAAACCAGCAATAGTTGAAGCAGGTTTGTGTGAATAAAAGAAACTATTCATTATCATTTTGATAAGTGTAATAACAAATACACTTTCTTTCTTAAAATTATTAAAAGTAATTATAATTAAATATTACATATACAAAGTTTAAGATGTAATCAATATACTACACTTAGTCTATTCTAAAACACGAAGTACATACTGGTCTTTTATTAATGTTTGCCGTTAAATGTTGCACAGAACTAATTTCATGAAGTTTGAACTTAGATGGGAATTATAATTATTAAATTTTATAGGAGGAATGCAAGCTCTTGCAATGCATTTAGGACATCAGAGTCAAAGATTGGTGCTGAATTGTCTGTGGACTCTCAGAAATTTATCTGATGCTGGAACAAAACAGGTAAACTAAAGGAAATTGAGAGCATGCCAAAATTGTATATAGTTAATTGATATTTTAAAAATCTTTTAAAAGGAAACTATGGAGAGTTTATTACAAAGTTTGGTACAACTTCTGTGCAGTAACGATATCAATATAGTTACCTGTGCAGCAGGAATATTATCCAATTTAACATGTAATAATCAGAGAAATAAAATGACTGTCTGTCAAGTCGGAGGCATTGAGGCGTTGGTCCGAGCTGTCGTCCAGGCAGGAGACAGAGAAGAAATAACTGAGCCTGCGGTATCTTTATAATATTTATAATAACTTTAATATACATCCATGCCTTTTTGAATATTCTTACTCTTAAATGCATTATAGGTTTGTGCTTTGAGACATCTCACAAGTCGTCACGCCGAAGCAGAGATGGCTCAAAATGCCGTCAGACTCCATTATGGACTACAAGTTATCGTTAAATTGCTTCATCCTCCGAGTCGTTGGCCACTGATTAAAGTATTTATTTTTGTAATCGTATTTCAAATAAAATATAATTTAACAAAGTACTCTACAAACAAAATTTATTTTAGGCCGTTATCGGACTCATACGTAATTTGGCTTTGTGTTCTGCAAATCATTCTCCTCTTCGGGAACACGGTGCAATTCCCCGACTCGTTCAACTTTTACTGAAAGCATATCAAGACACACAAAGAGTAAGATTACGAGAAAAATTTGTTTTTGATTTAAGATTTTACCGTAAATTTATTTTAAATCCATAATTAGCGTTCCAGCGTGACATCAAACAGTAGTCAGGTGGCATATATGGATGGAGTACGAATGGAAGAAATCGTGGAAGGGACTGTTGGTGCACTTCACATCTTAGCACGAGAGGCACACAACAGAGCTATTATTCGTGGGTTAAATGTTATACCAGTTTTTGTTCAAGTCAGTAATTGATTTTCATTCTAATATTTTAAAAATATTTATTTAAATATATTAATTTATGTTTTCTCATTAAAGTTATTGTACAGCGAAATCGAAAATATTCAACGTGTAGCAGCAGGAGTTTTGTGTGAACTCGCCGCCGACAAAGAAGGAGCCGAAATGATCGAGACAGAAGGAGCCACTGCTCCTCTTACCGATCTGTTACATTCGAGGAATGAAGGAGTCGGTTAGTTTTTATTTACTATCCTTCATTTTTATGCAAGCTTAATATTTCTATAGTATTTGTTTTTAAGAATATTAAAAAAATCTCTATTTGTAATTTGAAAAACATTCATGAAAAGTAAGTTCTAAAAGTAATTTGAAGGATAAATAATAATGTTGATTCTGGATAAATTGAATTTTATATTCATCGTAACATAATGCCCATAATTTGAATGAACTTTTGTGCATTTATAAATTAAAATAGTTTTGAGAGTATTTTTGGCTATTCAAAATCTGGGATTCTGGCAAATTTATTTTGTGCCTGGTAATGTGTAATTTCTATTGCATTTTCAAGTGACTACTAACATCACATCAAGATAAACTTGAAATAAAATTAAACATTTAATTACTTATGCCCCAAAAAAAAATATATAAAATCACTCAACATGTCATCATCATCAATCATCATTATCATTCATTCCTTCTGATACCCTCTGGGTATCAGAAGGATACCCTCTGGGTTTTGGCTCTTTTTTTGGCTCTAAGAAATTGTAAGCAAAGTAATTCTACAGGAAACATAAATACACTTAATAAAATAAGAAACACTTACTCTGCATGAAATATAAATATTATTTTTATTTGCTTAGTTTCATAAACCAAAGCTGCTTGGTGAACAAAAAGAAGATAAATTGGTACAAATCTATAATTGAAGTATTCGAAACTGAAATTAATTTAGGAAAGTCACTCTAGTATTTAGTCTTGTTCTATTGTAATTTTTAAAATACAGTATTTAACTTATATTTTGATACTCTTGCCCTCTTGGTGCCAGTGTTCGTTAAGTATCTTATACTGATATGGCAAATTTTTAATCTGTATCGGCTGGAAATTAGGCAGATTAATTGTGTAAGCTTTACTTGTTTAATTGTCTTTATAAACATACAAGGTCTATTAAGAAAAAAGTTATGTCAAACATAATTAATTAGCATACAAGTGGAAATTAACTTTCAGATTAGTTAAATCATTTTGCCAATCCACTATTAACTCTGTACTTTCCTGTTAATTCATATTAATTTGTTATAATAATTACTTGGAGTGTATTTAAACATAATACAATGAATGTACTTGAAATACAGTAAGACATCAATTTGTTGTTTTGTTGTTTAAAGTTAAGTCTGGCAAATCTTATGAACAATACATTTTAGAATAATTTATTTTTATATTAATATAATTAGGATAATTTTATTGTACGAAACTTGTTCAGAATTTTTTTCCTGTTAAAAAAATAATAAAACTTTAATTAAATTAATAATAATATATATTTTCTGTTTAGCCACTTACGCAGCTGCAGTGTTATTTCGCATGTCCGAAGACAAACCACAAGACTACAAGAAGCGTCTCTCGATGGAACTGACAAGTTCCTTGTTTCGAGACGACGCGGGTCCTTGGGGAGCCATGGTATGCATTTTTATTTACAATCTTTGATACCATTGAAATGGTATTTTGACAATTGATATTAAATGCAGCATCCGGATATGGACATGAACATGCTAGGCACCGAGGAACCTTATCCCGACCAAATATATCAGCCGGGACAGGGGCCCGTTCATGCAGTGCCGCCCCGCCACAATCCGTATGCACAGCAAGGTGAGTTCGAATATCAACTGGACGTGTAAGAGAAAGGTAGTTGCTTTTATTATAACAAATGGCTAAATAAGTTTTCTTCTTTCTGAGCTTTCCTTGCTGAAGAGGATGTTTGGTACGAAACTAAATTTCCCTTAAATTAGATGTTCTTACTGATTTGGTGACAATTTCCGCCAATGACAAAAGTTATTTTCTTACAGATTATGACCCTCAGGTCCCTATTGAGTCAATGGAAGGATTGGACCTAGGTCCTCCTATCAATAATGTTAGTGGATACGGATCTTTGGACACAGCTATGGACATTGATAATCACCCCGACTTAAACATTGATAATTTGGAATCTATTATGTCACCGGATTCGGTGCAGAAGGAGGGACAGCTCGCTGCCTGGTACGATACCGATCTCTGAGATGCCATCTCGGTACAGATATCGCTTCTACTTATTAAAGTTTTTAATATATCACAAAATGTAATTTCCATTTCTTTTTTTTCTGCATCTAAAAAAAAAAAATGGAAACTCTCGATGCCGATGGTATCCCAGCGATCATTCGTTGTTTTTCGAAGTGACGGTTTACTTCTCTGGCAACGTTGCGGGAATTGCCGTTCGATTAGAAAAGTTTTAAGATTAAATATTGTCTTCCCACGAAGTTTTCCATTTGTGTACTTAACGTCAGATTATCTTCCTCGTTATCTCTAGACTGTTTTAACGTCGGTCGACTTAAGGTAAAATCCTCATTAGTCGCATAACCCCACTGTATACTTTTATGTAATCCCGTTAAAGGTAGAGTAGTACGTGACGTCTACAGTATTATTGGATGGAAGTCGTGTCCGTTACGTATGCTATCGATCATTATCTTCAAGTAATCATAGTTACCTTTTTTAACGAAAATATCGTTCAGAGTATTTACGCATAATCCAATCAAATTACTAATATCCACGGAACAAATATGAGATGTGACCTCTTGCCGATACGAGCTTATCGACCGTTTTGTGAAAGTTGTATTTACTACGTTTTTATGTTACGTTTTAAGATGGTTTAATAAGATGTTTATCTTAGAATTTTAATCTAGAGTAGTTAGTGGATTCCAAACGAAAGCCTATTGTTGTATGTCTCGTGATCTTTATTCGAATATACTTCCAGAACGAGAAAATGACGGGTGAAATGCATTTATAAACAAGTGATTATCGTGTAACAATATAGCAAAGTGAATTCATTAAAGTGTGTGCAAAATAAACGTCCGTCTGTTGATTCTTTCTAGAAAATATCCTTATTTTTAACAATACTTGTTTTAAATAAACAAGTTAAATACAGTTATTTTAGATCATAATGCACTATACACAACGTTGGTTTAGTAAATGCATTCCTTCACAAATAACTTCAATGAGAATAATATACATTATTCTCAGTTATTCACAATAGTTATGCTCATTTTAAGACTAAATAATGCAAAAATTACAATATTTTGTGCGGTGAATAATGTAAAAGACTCTTGTATAATCTTATCTGACATTTTTTGTTAGTGTTTGCAGTTAACTTCTACAATGTAGCAAAGTTTATAATAGTGAATAATTATTCAAAAGTACATCAGATAATAGACAATTTCTGAACTTAATTCTTGCTGTTTTTAAGCAATTAACACAAAAATAAAGCGTGGATATGGTATCCGAGCATCTCGTAACTGAAGTAAGAATGATTTTCAGAAACTAATTCTTATATCCCAAAGCATTTGTTGCAAAGTGGAAACTAACTTGCCAAGTATTTTATATGCAATTTTTTTAAAATTTAAAATATTTTTGAAAAGTAATGTTGCAATAACAGAGTCAATTTGGGATGCAAACCTATCGGCATCGACAAAATGGAGAATTTCCCATTTAAACCCTTCCTTTCGAAACAAATATTCCTATCCCAACGGGCTGTTTTGCAATGTTTTATAAACTCCTCGGTCTAATGTGTTTAAAAGAAATACAGTAAACTTCCCACTTGATCCCGTTTAATAAATTTCTATACTCGGTAAACGGTAAGTTGTTAAAGAAACAGAGTTCGTACGAGTAGACAGGAGGCAGTTACTCAAAAACCGACATGCAAAGTATATTATTTCCTCTCTTGCCAGGCAATAGCTGGCAAAGTGGATGAATTGTGGTGTTTGACTGACCATGGGTATATATTGGCATCCCAGATAATTGAGTATCTGTTGTGTTTAGTGTGTGTAACATGCAGTAATATACAGAAGAATGTAAAATGCACATTTATACTTATATTATTACACACGTAGTGTTACCGAATACATTAGAAATGTTGTTAATAAGAAAATATTTCATTTTTATCCCCGCTTCTATCTGCAGGGATAGATTAAAAATTGGATTACTGTCTTTTCTGTAATGAAGTTTGCATTTATTTAGATATTTTAATAGCAAAAATAATTGTTATGCAAAATAAGATTATGAGAAAATTAACACAAAAACTATTTTACAGAGGATTGAATTATTTAGTTTTGTGTTGTCTGCAGAATAAGAATTTTATACAATGACAAAGAATTCACAGCTATGAATATTTGACACTTAAGAAATGAATTAAGAAATTCAATGCTAAAAGTACAAGTGAGTATTGTTTATACAACAGTATTTTGTTCCTTTATTATTAAAATAAATATTCAATTTACTAATTACTTTCAATGAAATTTTATATTTGTAACAATTAGATTATACTAAATTTAAGTTCTGTATAATCTAATTATATTAGTTGAGAATTAAATTAGTGATATATACAATATGTTTTGGAACAATTAACCAAAATAAGCTTTTTTTATTATTATTTATTTTAAATTACATCACTTGATAGTGAATTTAATATGCCAGACAACACTATAAACTTTTTGTAAATTCACAAAAAATTTGTGTATATTTGAGAAAAAACTTTAAAGAATATACAATTTGATATTTATGTGTATAAAAGTGACTTGGCTCCAGTCTTTATGCCTGACAGCTCGAATCCAAAATCCCTGTTTACGAATTGTTTCCACCTTGAACTGCTTCCAGCCAATCTAGGGGCCCATTTTTGCACCCACTTCTTGTATTATCCAATCCTATTATCCAATATTTTTTGAATACTCTGGGTCTCATTTTATCTTGGAGGTTGTTCGGTAGGAATCTCCCAACAGAGATGTCTTTAATATAAATCTCGAAGAGAACTCGGTTACGGTCTAGTCACTTTAGTGTTGCAGGACATTTCTTCAAAATCCTACTGGACAATAATCCAAATGTAGATGGTACCAAGGTAGGTAAGACAATTTTGTTTTTTTTGGCATACCGTTCTGGGTGTTGCAAATTAGAGTAAATTTATAGAAGAGAATTTCTGCTGCATGCATCTACCTTATCTGAATGAATGACTAAAATATACTACATTTTACTTCTGAATTTGCTAGTGTTCTGCATTTGCAAGGACGAAATTACACGAATTGTTAAACAATAAGGAATTAACCTTTTTAAACCAATTAACATAATTTATCACCTTTAAACCATTTCGTGATATCACCTCTTGTAAAGATTTATAAGAACTGTGACTTAAAAAATTGCTATTAATTGTACACCAGATCAGAAATAACATAAAAGTTACAAGACCAGGGGTGAAGCATTATTAAGCATAACTGTGCCATTAATCGTGGCTTCATTCATAAATTACAGTTAGCGTATTAATAAACTGATTCCTGTAAGTTCAATTGACATAATGGTCCTTACTGATTATAAATTAAAAAATTTGGCATGTTTAAAAGCATAAAAATCTGCTAAGTGGGCGGACACGAGACCTCTTATTTATCGAGACAAATAACGGTTTAAAGAGGAGCAAACGTTTTTGGCACCCAACTTATTTGTTGGATGCATAACAATATACACAGATAATAAATCAGCGCCCATTCGACTTACAGGAGACTGTTTTTATAAGGGTATATTATCTATTTATAAGTCCAGAACGAGGTTAATTAAACAAAATGGCACTTAAGTTCTTCCCGAATCGACTTTTGTCTTTCACAATTGCTAGTATCTTCACTGTTCCGCGCCCGCAAGCTGCCAAGTCCCAGGTGTTAGGCAATTCAAAATGGCCACCGCAGAAACGACGACACTAATTTCGTGTTTAAAACGAATCTAACGTAAATATTACCTCGGTTATTGTATACAAATTTAGATTTATTGGAAATTAAGACAGTTAAACGTGTAATTCGCATACAAAGCCGGTTTCTTGTAAATTGTAAATTATTAGATTATATAGAGGAAGAATTTGTTTCAATTTAAAGTGATACTAGCAACTGACGAAACTCGTGTTTCGGCAGTTCAAAACAAATGCTCTTCAACTTGTTTAAATTGGTACGATGCCAAGTAGTCCGAGAGATTAAACAAATGTACAACACTACTACACGAATATTTAATGCACATCCTTACGATGTCTTCGAGTATTGTGTAGTCTGCGAGGTTCGAAACTTCCGCGGTGTCTCGACGCTCGGATTTAAACAAGTGTGGGAGTAACAATACGTCTAGCCACTCCTTCCTCTTAACCAGACATAGGCTACGCTAGAAAGGATTCTCGTGGCATATTGATATAACTTTCTCAATAATACTTTATTGTTGATGGAATATAGAATTTTACAAGAATTTGTAGGTGTTTACTAACACGAAGAGATGGACGTCTGGAATTTGGCATCCTAACTTGTGAAAGTAGCGTAGTATTTGTAGTATTAGACTAGTGTCGTGACTTTACTAATTGGTGCAGTATTTATAGTGTTAGTGTGGGATGACAATGGAGGTAAAGGCGTCGTCCCGTCGCTCCGGAGAACACGGATTTGAGTCTGGTTCGCCACCCGAAAAATTTTCGAGGGCGGTTTGATTCGGATATCTTCCTAGCCATTCATCCTCCCCGTTGCGATATTGCGGCACACTACGTTATCCAAGTTCTGTTTCACTCGATTGTTGTGCGAAACAACTAATAAAAGGGGATGAGTAAGGATCGTTTTCAGTATTTAATATCTGTTGTTCGTGGCGCTGTCGATTCGTGTAATAAACAAAGAATGGAATCCATTTTGGGAAGTGTTTCTTTTTGTGTAATTTTGTGAGAAAGCATTTTCTGAGATATTGTGGACTATTGTGAAATTATTTGGATAAAACGAAACGATAATATTAACTGTAGTGTTCTTAATAAGATTTGCGGATGTTTCGTTGCCGTTTGGGCCATTTACACGAAATTTACCGTATTGGGTGCCTTCTGCGGTGAGAACCAATGGGCGAAATTTAGTTTGTACCCGTTTCGGATGGCGGGGAAGAGATTAAAAACAATATATAGTTACAAAAATCGCAGTTAATGATACTGATGATGCACCCACGAATAACCTATGATAATTACACTTGACCACGAAGTATTTTGAAAATCTAGCAGCGATTTTCGAAACTTTCATAAATCTCTCCCCTTGTTCTGAAATGCTGGTGAAGCAAGTTTCGCCCATTGGTCCTCTCTGCAGAAGGTGCCGAGTAGAGTAACTTTAATTGGAATAATCCCGTATATAAGATTACAACACGTTTCCCAGAATCGTTCGAATCTCCATATTCTGCCAGGCTCGGTGCGAAATGTAAATGGGGAAATCTTGAAATTTTGGGATTTTCTGTGTGTGTTAAAGTAAACTATCGTAACATAGAATCTCTGTCAAATTCTGAATAATTCCGCCATTTTATCATTATCCCATAACCGCCTAGTCGAAATGGTGGCAATTTAATTAAACCGATCCTAAACGATTAGCACTTTTTGTGTCGAAACAAAATGGCTGTCGAATAATACGCTGTACTTTCTCACAGGAGGACCAAACGAAGCTCTTACGCACTGTTGCCAGTTTAGCAGAAAATCCCCCGTATCTAGCGGAGTATCGAAATTTAGGGTAACAATTTTAAGTGGTCAATAAAGCATTATAAAGTTAAATGCCACCACCGTTACTTGGTACGTTACGAATATTGGTTTAGAAACGTCATACGAAGTTTTAGTCCAAAAAAAATGTTATATTTCTGGTGGGCCCCATCAGGGGTTTCGGTGGGGTGAGCGGTAAGAAATCTGGCAACTTACACTGGACGTATGTGGCAAATTGCTCTCCGGAGAAAACAGGAAATGTTTCTTGTTTCGAGGATAGTTTGCGCGAAATGAGAACGTAACCGTGATCTAACCGGGTTATACCGTAACGGTGACGTGTCTGGCTCGTCGGGT